CCTTCAGGTACATTCTGTGTTCGGTGTGTGTCATTAACTGGGGTATTGAAGCTTTTGGCTGAGGCACGTTGTTTTCAGCTCTAGTTCGTACCTGGATGCCCCATGCGCTGGACAGTCCAACAGCAGATGTATTTTGTTACTGTGATAGTATAGATTACTAGTTGACCCGGCAAACGTTGTTTTGCCATGTATATTATTTCCTAGGAAACGGTTTTTTAAGTTAAATAAAAATAACTATCAATAATGAAAAATAGGGGATGATCGTAGAGGGGTGAAAATGAAGGGTTGTATGTATTTTTATCAATCAAATATAAATACATTTTTTTGTCGGAATAATAATAAACATTGTTTTAGGGTGGACACCCCTTATCACTTAGAGGTTTGAATAATAGATAGTAGCCGATCCTCAGATATACTGAATATGCATAAAAAATTTCATAAGAATCGGTTGAGCCGTTTCGGAGGACTATGGGAACGAACATTGTGACTCGAGATTTTTATATATATATATAGAGATAATAGCAGCAAGCCTATAGGGAGAAGGTTAAGAAAAATATGTTGCTCCTTATCCAAGGATATTGTATTTTCTTTATAAGTCTCAAGAGGTATTTAAGATTTTTAAAAGTTGAGTATCTGAACGTAATTCTTAAGTGCTTAATCTCACGGAATGGTTATATTCAAGGTAAATAGGTAAAAAATATGCAATTTAAATGTCATTTTAACTCAAGGTAGAACGAAGACCTTTCTATATTTATTTTAAGGAATATGTACTTTTGATCGTTACAATGTGCATGCAAAAACTGTAATTGAATAAAAGTCAATCATTTAACATTATTTATATATGTCACCTCCAGAAACGAGTGGATATCCATATCAGAAAAACTATGATTTTGATAAAATTTAAACTGTTTTTTTAATTAGGAATATATTTCATTGTAATCAATATATATTTAATATTTATTTCTGAAACTAAACTTAAGCCCTGCGATTTCTTGGGCATTGAAAGTGTCCATGGGCGGCGGTTTCACTTAACATCAGATGAGCCTTCTGCCCGTTTCCCCCCTGTTCTATTTAAAAGGCCGCTAGTGTATTGTAAAAGGCTAAGCGAAGTATTATCAGTTGAATGAAACAAATTATACATTTTTTGTGGCGATGATTACACTAAAGTAATTAATACATTACCAGTAATTGACAAGCGATGTTTGATTAATACTCGTTTTCATTACTGTAATGATATTACATCAAAATAATTGTCATGGCGGAATAATTGTTTTTAATTAAATTGTATAATAACTCTTTTTACTATATTCTGTTAAAATTAATACATAAATACAAAGCACTATGATGAAACTTGATTTCTTCTTCCAAGTCTTCATTACTGGAAGTCGTGCTTGTCGTGAAAGACCCTAACCGAATCGTCGACTTGCTGCCTCCGCAAGATCTATCCTCTACTTGTCTCAGGGCATTAGGGATGTTGAGACCCATAATTGTCTGACCTTGGTCAGACCAACGGGTAGGCGATAGACCCCGACTTCTCCTGAAATAACTTCTCCCTAACATTTCCAATTTGTCGAGACTGTTCGGTCTCTCCTGGCAATATGTTAAGGAATGCACCTCACACTGAGCTTTAGAGCTTCATATTATGTTAGCAAAAGAATTATTTTTAGCTTTTATTATATAATTGTTAGGTTACTTTGCAGTGACACAAAATCGGTAACGCGATAGAGATGAAACGACTAACTGTTGGGCTGTATTTTATTGTTATTTTTTTTAAATCAATTTTCTTATACGGCTTACCTATTACGGAAGAGACTTTATTATATGCATATTGTATGTACTTTAATTTAATGCTGGGACTATATTTCATGGGATGTTGCAAAATTGTTTCATTTTTATTTCTTTGCTAAAGTAGCTTAGCACCCGTTTGTAAATGATAGTTGACAGTCTGGGTTATCTTTAGATGGAATATTTTTAATATTAAAACTACTTAAATAGCATATGGACGAAAAACAAAGGCCCAATTGAAGTAAACATGACTGTTTATCCTAAAAGATCGAACCCGAGGCTATATTTACCGTTCTCATTTGAATTTACAAGTACTGCACGAATATGATCCTTATATCAATGGTATCAGATTTTATAATTGACTAAACAGTTAGTTGTCATAGGTTATGAGAAATATAAGATGTTTTTATTCTGTCTGCTTTTCGTAAGAGCGTTTTAAGATCTTCGAAGATGCGGGGGATTTTTAAGGAATAACTTTGTAAGAAACAAATTCAGGAAAATGACTAGCTTACACATGGGAATTCTAAGTATGCTATAAACTAGTATGTAGACTTTTTACAAGGCTTCTATTATGTATATATATATATCGTGTTAAAATATATAATAACTATTATCAATATAAATAATAGAACAATTATCTATATATATACATGAACACGAATCGCAAAATATCTCTGGATAAATTCGAGTATATTTTTTTGATTTATTCGTTGAACTTTGATGAAGGTTTTTGTAGAGAGAAAAAATGGTTCAATTCAGTTTCAGATTCAGAACAGTCGCTTTGGGGTAGCATAGTAGAATGTTCCATATGTTGGTATGTAGCTTCAAAAAGATAGGCTAAGTAAAAAAAAATATATTAAGGCGAAACGAAGTTCGCGCGGGCAGCTAGTTATATTTCGTTTGTGCCTTAATTTGAAATGGACCAACATGTCATGTTAAAAATTATTAAATCCATTTCTATCTACGAAGTTCCACTAAGAGTGCAACCCATTAAAAAAGACACAACACGTTGTGATAGAGAAGACTCTTTTATATATTTATCTCCTAAAATGTAGGATAGTATACCTTTGAGGTTAATTTTAATTAAATCATTTGTCAATCAAGAATGAGCAAATATATTAGTCAATTTTATACCGCGAAGTCACAGGCTTTGTGAAATAATAAAACGGCAGCACAATGAAGTATGAACAATACGTTGCAGTCTCTGTTAAGTATTGTTTCAAGTTTAAAATTGCATTGCTTTTAAGATTTCGCGAGGTTTATAGTACTCTATCAGATCGCTTGTGGCTTTTTGTTCATTTTACACTTTACTTTCAGAGTAAGGCATCTAGGCTTTTACGTGTCCTATATTAGATTTATGAACAGTGTTGGCCTAGTGGTTTAGGCGTGCGACTCTTATCCCTGAGGTTGGAAGTTCGATCCCCGGCTGTGTAACAATTGACTTTCTTTTTTTGTGTGCATTTAACATTCGCTCGAATGGCGAAGGAAAATATCGTAAGGAAAACGGCTTTCCTTAGACCCAAAAAGTCGACTGCGTGTGACAAACACAGAACACCTACTTGTCTATTAGATCGACAAATTATCATGAAACAGATAAGGAAATTTGAGGCTCAGACCTAAAAGGATGTAGCGCCACTGATTTATTTATATTAGATTTATATTTAAAATTTCCAATACCTTTTAGAAAACTCGCAAGGTCTAAAACTATATTTACACTTTTGCACATTATGCTAGAAACACATACATAGAATTCACGTAGTGCATTTGTTGATAATAAGGGATGTCTTCAAGGCATTTTTAAGATATAATTAATTTATTATATAAATTTTAAAGAGTTAGAATACGACGATTTATTAAGATAGGTTCGTGTCAAAGTAAGACTGAAACATACTAAGAAAGACGCTTCTACGGTTTTCGAAAATTCCAAGTTATTTAGTTTTTCTGATAATTTTGGCTATGGGTAAGGTTAGGTCGCATTCTTAACATTCCTCTATCAGCTAGTACATAAATACCATAGCAAAAAATCTGATATTTTTACTTCCAACACGCCTAGACATGTTCTTGACTGCAATGGTATTTTAATACAAGACTTAATGACGTTTTTATTGGCATAAAACCTCTTCTGAGCTAATGTGCTTCAGAATTCTCGCTCGTTCAATATTGGATGTAATTATCTAAGTGATACTATTTACTTGAGACCTTTGTGGATCAAAGGTAATACCTTAATCCTTTTGGGTTGGAAATTTGCAAAGTTTGGGCGGTTTACGTGGGTTCTGATGAGGTTTAATACATCTTAACCGTCATACTTTTTATAGTATGTTAGTTAAATTCACGCAATTTGTTTCACATCGTCTAGGTCTTCAAAAATAAAACGATTTTTAAATAATTTATCGATCAAAAATGTATAGCTTTCCATATATTTTTACGGCCTGCGTCTGATAGTGACTTATGAGTTATGACCAATAACATATTTTTACTATGTTAACTTATTAATTTATTATTATATAAATTAATCCTGCTTTGCTAAACTCCTAACCTCTTGATATAAGACGAGGTCAATCTTTCAAGATATTTAAAAATCTTCTGCCTATTAATTAGCTACTTATATATATATTAATATTATAATTATATTTTCGTTATAGTTAGTGTTACATTTTATTTTATTTTCTTTTTTGTTGATTATTTATACACTTCTTGTACTTTACTCTCTTTAGGTGTTTCTTTTTATTGTTCTATACTAGTGTCGCCTGGAAGAAAACGCTTGTTAGCGATAAGGCATCCCGTTGCCATATAAGTTATGTAACCTGCTTTTCTATATGTATGTTTTTGCATATGGTAACTAAGTGTTTATAAATAAATAGAATATCAACTTCATAGTTTATCTTAGTTAATTTATAATTTTAAATATTTCTTGCCCCCATATATATAGAGATAGAGTTTATTTTTTTAAAGATAGGAGTGACAAAGGCATAGCTATAAAAAGCTGTCACCATAACTCTTGGAAACCCATTCTACTCATTGTGTTGACGGGCCAGAGGAGGAAGCTGTTTTATAGATTATTATTTGATTTACATATTTAAATATAGGCTCTAAACATTTAAAGTAATTAATCATTAAGTTGTTAATAACGATTAAATTAAGTTCACCATATACGTTAGAAAGTTTTTAGTTTTTTGATTATTTTGAGAGACGTAATCCTAATTATTCTTCTACAGGTATACGTAGCCCTCTTCAAGCCACTTCGGGTGTCGCGGAGGCAGTTTCGACGTGTTCTGATGTGCATGCGCAATGTCAGGCATCTCAAGTGTCATGAGCTATACGCCCATGAGAAAGTCACGAAGGTGGACAGTCTGTCACTCGTTCTGAGTGGAAAGTAAGTAATTACTGATTTTATTACTTTGATATCCTCAACTGATTCAGGTATATGCCAATGATGGTGGGTTACGGGCTGTTTAAGTATTACGTAAGCAGATTTACTGCAATTTATCCCCCCCCCCCGTTATAGTATGGATTCCGGGCACTGCCTCAATGCTTCGGTAAAAAAGCTGTTTCGGAGGACGCCCAAAAAAAAAAAAAAAAAAAGTTTGTACTCTAACAAAAAGGACGTGTGGAGTCGAATGACTACTCCTGAAGTGATAGCTCTAACCGTTCCAGAGATAGCTTTCCCAAAACCTTGCTAATTACTTACTAATCACCACCTTATCAGTTACTATTTCCTGCACAAATCCCACTCATTATCTAATTACTTAATGACTCAGTACGAATGCATCGTTATCTACTTTCCACATTCACTAACCCGATCATGGCTCAAAAGAAAAATAGAATAAACTATATCTAACCTAACCTACGGGTCTAAAAAAACAATAAATATACCTACATTAAAATTATCTATAATAAAATTAGATGTAAGGGTTACATATTTAAATAAAACATTTTTATTCCAGGTATTATTCTTTTATTTATATGTCCATTATATTTCTATACAAATTTACTAGCACCGTATCATTGTTCTCTAGTACACGTAAAATTTCTAAGGAAGTCTTCATCTCTCCCCTAACTTTAATATATTATACCAAACAGTACTCTCCCACACGCCGATAGGTAATCCTGAAATAAGGCTATTGTATCTCCACATGCAACAATTCCTCCTTAAAAATCCTTCTATTGCTTCAATAGTTTAATCAAACGTCAAAGTATTGCCAACTCTTTCGACGTTTATATGAATAGCACCCAATGAGACCCGGCTTGAATCAGGGTCAAGATTGCATATATAAGTGCTGGCACCAGAATCGCAATGATTTGAAGGATATACGTTGCTCTGGAGGCTGGGATGTATTCTACAAGACTCATTTGCACTTCTAGTTTTCATACTAATAGTTTACTCCCCTACTCTTTCACTCTTTACTGACTACATTTATTACTATCAATTCTATTTGTACAATGTATTTAAAACACATAATATGATCTCAAATAAGTAATGAGTCTCTTGTAAAAAGTAATAAAGGTAAATAAAACATGTCATATTCCATTACATTATATTTTATTATTCTTAATATCATAATAATTACATAAGTGATTGCTTAACTACTATAATCCACACATACATTTCTGTTCTATCTATTTCTTAATATTTGAAAATCTCTAAACTACACAGTTAATTGTTTCAGTCAATGCGCTCTCAATCTACTTCATTCTTAACTAAGTACAAGATTCCAATGCACATTAGAGTTAGCCGACAAGTCAGGTGTTAAATCAAAAGCTAGTAAACAGTATCATTTGAATATTGCTCCTCGATATTCCATTACCTTCGTTAAGAAAATGTATACCGGTGCCTGAGTACAGGGTGTGGTATGCGCTAGTAAATACATCGTTTGAAATGATGGTTGTAACGATTTTGAAGGTATCTGTTGACATTATATAGGCTAAATAGCAATACCAAAATTTTCAAAGTTGAAAGGATTTTTAACATAACTACCCTGAATTTATTATTCACAAAACCTATAATAATCTCTAGGAACTGTCCAAAATATACTTCAAAAAGTAATGAAGCTAAATAAAAACGTGTCATATTCGTTTATAAATATTTTAATATTTAATATTTACATGTAATCGCTTAACTACTAACACATTTCTGTTCTTATCTATTTCAAAAATATTTTAAAAATGCTTGACTTTAAGATTGCAAAGGGTATTAGAGTGCCCTTTGTATTTATTATCCACATTTTACTAATTGGTATGCATACTTGTTCAAACATGCAGTCGAGCTGAATATCGTAACTAGATAACGATATCCATTACCAGTCTATATAACCCGATACTTGTAGAAAGATTTAGTATTGTGCTCTAAGTTTGACAAAGTTGAAGTGGTTAAAAGTTTGAAATAATATACAATGGAGGTAAGTTTAATTTTAAACTATTTAAGGTTAAAATTCTTAAGCGTGTGTATAAATTTGTTTGAATTTTATTGAATGTATGTTTCAGGAACATACAATCTGAAAGATGTTGAAAATTGTTTTAAACTAATTTCTTCAATCTGAAGAAGAGAGAGTCTCTTATTATAAAGCATAAAAGAACTTTAGATGATTTGTTTGTACAAGAAAAAAGGGAAAAATGATATTATCTTCAACTGCTGGTCGATCTATAAATGAAGGACTATTAATTATATATCAATAATAAATCTGAAAGTTATCTTATTGAGTTATACTTAACAATTAAGAGAAATTCCGACAATTGGAAAAATGCTGATTTCGAAAATTACAAAATGTAATTCAATATTTAAATAGGTTTTAAATAAAGAAATATCAAAGTTGATAGTAAAGCATTAAGTTTTAAAAATAAATAATAAAATATGATAAATATTTTTATAAATAATACTTAAGTTTTTGTATTGTAATAATTTGGTAGTAATAGCTCCTATTTTAATAGTTAATTCCTATAATTTGTAGAATAATTTGAACTATGGAGGGAGTAATGGAAGTGAAAAATGAAGATATGTAAATAAGAACTGAAGAAATAATCTTCAAAATGCTTTTTATGACAGTGATGGTTGAGTTATGTGGTGAAGTGGAAAAGCAATTGTAAGTATTTTGTAATTACTCTTTAACTTTATAACATTTTATTTTATTTAATAATAAAAATGTTTTTTCTTAGCAGGAAGGTAAAATTCTCATATGGGTAATAAGAGATTTAATCTGAAACACCGTGACTTCTACGCCGAGGTCTACTTCAAATAATAAGGTAAATATCAGTTTTGTGTTGTAATATTTTATCAAAAGTATTTTCAAACTAAATAAAAATAATTTAGTTAAAATACAAATTTCTTAAACAAATTAAGATATATGAAAATGCTTTTGAAAAGGATATTAATATAGATTATTCAGAAATGAAATACTTCGATTTTGAAAACCGATTTATTTCTCACTTTGTAAAAGAAAATATTTACTTAATTAAAAATTTTACGAGATTCATACAATTTAAAAATAAATTTTATTTTGTATGCTGATTCTAGGAGAAAAATATTACTAATACCTTTGATTTCCAATCTATGAATTTTATTGTTTGTGTTGAGGATGATTTAAATATATTTTATACATCGTTGTCCAAATTCTCGTAATTATGTTAATTCATTTGAAAAGAAAGATAGTGGTTGGAGTTAAAAAATATTCTGTACTTAGATATAAATGTAAACAAATTTAACCCATTACGGGGTGGGTCTTATATCGATTTACCTCATGATAAAATTAAAAAGCTGTTGTGAATGTAAAAAATACTGATGATGCATGTTTTAAATGGGCTTTATTGTCTGCATTATTCCCAGTACTTAAGAATTCAGATCGTGTATCTTCTTTTCTAAATAGTAGTAAATTAAAGTTCGATAATATTAAATTCCTGTTAAATTTCGTGATATACCTAAAATTGAAAATCTGAATAAATTAGTATAAATGTTTTTGGTTTAGAATATAATGAGCAAATAGAAATATTGTTGTAGGCCCCTATATTTTACAAAAATAGATGTCGACTCTTAAATTTGCTATCTTTAACACAAGGTAAAATAGGGCATTATTGTTTCATAAAAAATATATCAAGATTAATAAGTAGTCAAATTTCAAAGTCAAAAGAGCTATTTCTTATGTGATTTTGTTTGTTATACTTTCGATGCTTGAAGTTTAAAAACACAGAAAAATGATTGTCGACACTTTTACACATTACCCAGTAGCTAAAATAAAAGAAACTGGTGTGGTGAAATTGTTTCAGACTGTTAACTATATTCAACGAAAAATTAAATTACCCTTTGTTATATATGCAGACTTTGAGGCATTATTAAGTCCAATAGCTCGTGTTCAAATATCCAACAACGTCATCCACAATTAATATACAAAGACATGATGTTTATAGTTTTGGATATTACATTAAATGTTCTATGATGATAAACTTTCAAAATATTTACTATACGGGGAAAATTGTGAAAAATTTGAATTTTACAAGAAGATTTAAATTAAAAACATTTTATTTCAAAAGCCAACTTGCCCTCTTTCATTGAAGAACTAATAAAACATTAAATTGCTACGTGTGTAACAAAAATTTAAATGGTGAATCAATGGTATACACGATTGGTATACTGGTAAATTCAAGGGTGTTGTCCATAATATATGTTTCGAAAAATTTAGAGCCATAATGATTCCAGTTTTCTTACATAACTTAAGTCACTACGATGCACTTATCGTTCATGCTTTGAACTTTGAGGAAGGCAAGTTGATGTTCTTCTCAAAATAAGGAGAAATAATTTCTTTTCAAAAATATTAAATTAATAATATACTTAACTTTGCGATTTGTTGATTCAATTAAATTTTTACCAGTACCTGATAAGTTAGCAAAAATTAAAAACTAGTGATTTTTGGAACTTCAAAAAATTACCGACAGAAGATTTTACTTTAAAAAGGTATATTTCCATATGAATTCATCAAGGATTTCGATATTAATACCAACATCTCCAATAAATAGATTTTTTAGTACTCTCACAAGTAAATATTTCTGACATAATGATCGATGTTTGGAATCATTATGTAATTTTAGATTATTCAAATCTTTATTTAAAAACGATGTTTTATATTAGTTGACATTTTTGAAAATTTTAGACGTGTTTGCATAAACATTATGATTTGATCCGCACATTATTTTACTACTCAGGATTAAGCTGGGACTATGCTAAATATACTCAAATAGAATTGGAATTGTTTACAGATATAGACAAAATTGTTTTCATTAAGTCAGGAAAGAGGTGGAGTTTCACAATGTAGTACACGTCATGCAAAGGCGAATAATGTGTACATGTCAATTCAATGAAAAAGAGCTAGATTCTTTTCTTATATATCTTGAT